GAGACGCTTGTGCAATTTCAATTCGATGTTTTCTTGAAGGGGTTGAATTTCCCTTTCTTCCACTGCATATTACAACCCTTGACAGAAAGTTTCCGATCGTACAGATTAATACAAATTTTACGGAAAAACTGCCGCATTTTACGTTTTTTTTCTACGTTGTCTTGCAAAATAAATGAAAGTTTGTATCATTTCGTAGTTAATTACCTCCTACAAAACATCCCTTCATTTTCCATCAGCCTCAATTATATATAATAACATTTTACAATCATAAAAAATTTGTATTAATGCGTATTTTCTGCCAGGGGTAGTAAAAAAATGTCTCGAGCACAAGTTAAAAAATCGTGTTTCCTTTTTTAAATTTTGATAAATAATCGATGTTCCTTTGTTTCTGGAAGTCGACCGGAACACGAGGCGAAAGGGGTAGGGGACGGGAAAAACGCGAATCGCTGCAAATAATTAAATGTAATTAAAGCCGGGGACGCGCAGTAATCCCGACCGACAAATTTAATTTCGACGGTAGCGTTGTTCTCGCGCGCGCTGGTACGCGCATTCCGCGCTTCGGGCTCGTCGAGAATTGTTCGTTCTCGCGCGTAAAATCGTCGCTGGAATCCACACGGGGACTGTCGATACAATTTAAACGCGCGCCTCGATGTCCGGCCGCGATTCCGTCGACGGGGGACTTCTACGCCGTCGAAGTGCCTTGGACCGTGTGAAAATTTCATTGAAAAGTTACGCGACGCGCGCAAACTCGCGCGTAACTCGTTTGGTGGCAAACGAGTACGGAACGAAGGGTGCTGGAAAGCGGTCGTGGTTCGCGTCGTACCTAAAATTTTAATAAGCCGTCGTTTATCGAACTCAACATCACCTAAAGGGGGGGAAAAAAATGAACCATGGAAGTTGATCGATCGATCTAAAGATTTCCAAGTTGGGGCAGCCTCGATGACATTTAAAATTACTCGCGATGGTTTCGTTACACCGTGACCGCGTCGACGGGAACCTAAATTCGAGCACGAGTGGCATTAGTCTATAGTTTTGGGCACGTTGTGTACATCGAATACATAGTGAAATTAATTAACGAAAGGATTTACGGTGTTTCGAAACAAATATTAAAGCGCGTACCGATCAAACAACCGTGGCTTATTTATTTAACAAACGTTGCGAGCATTAATTTAGGCCCTTTATGGCAGAAACTCTAAAATCATCCGCCACAGCCAAATATTAACCCCTAGATGCCAACACTTGTAATTGATTTGTACCATCTCGATATCGTATCGTGCATATATCATTCTCTCGCTTACTGAACGTTTGGCTACCTCCGTGTGTGTACTGTTGTATAAATAGCGCGCAGATTACGATGATCCATAACGCATGAAATATTTCAATTTATAATCTCGACTCAATTTATCGTATTCCTTGTACAGTAGATTCTTATTCCAATTTTGTCGAGTTCTTCAACCGAGAACAGGAACGTTGAAGCGTTACATTTAAAAAGGAAAATATCTGCGGCAGATATATTTTCTACAAGCTATTAAAACTTCAATTTTAAAGTTTTATCATTTTTTGCGCCGTCGTCGGTTCGGTAAGCTTGAAAATTTTAGTCCCCGAGTAGGAAAAAACGTCTTCGAAGTTTCAGTAACCATCCGTTTGCGACGGTCTGTTGCAGAACGTCTTCTTCAAACTTCCGTTGCTTTATCGATTCTTCGATTTTCGACTTTAAACATTTTACTGCCGCAATCTTAACGCCGTAACGAATAAAAAGCGAAAATAGAGTCGATCTTTTGTTCGCGCGAAATGTGTGACTCTACGTGCGATTTGACAACACCTGTTACGACAGTAAAAATCCTGTGTACGTCGATTTATGTGCTGGCCAATAAAAAGGGGGGAAAATTTCTATATTCGCCTCTTAATATTGTTCCGGAATTCCTAGGTTCGACGATGTTGAAATCGAAGCTCTACAATTCTTTTCTATCAAATCATTCAAACCCTCTGTTTTAAAAATAAAAGAAAATAATTTCGTTTCGTGCTGGATAAAATTAAATCATTTTCAAATAATTTGCAATATGATGCTTCGTGGAGATCACCTGTTATTTTATTTGAACGAATCAACTTTTATTTTGGTCACGCTAAATTATTGAATTTAGTGTCTGAGAATCTTTTGAGTAATTTGAACAGCCAAATGACGAAACAAATTAGAGACAAATCGTTTTATTTAAACAATTGCTAATCCCGTTCGGTATTTCGGTTAACAACGCCTAGAACGGAACGACGTGAACATAGTTCGTAACATTTCAGCTCCGTTCTCGCTTGTGACACGTTGCGTCACTATCAGAGCTTAGGCGAGCTGACACGCGACGACGATACGAGCTAAACTCGCGTTCCGTGCCCTCAAATGGGGTCCTCTGATTGCTTTTGGAGTTCGCGCGAGACACGTGGGATGAAAAGAAGGGACGGAAGAGGCTGTCGGTGTAAATGACACGATTCACCCCCACACTAACGCGGACCGTGTTGCAAGGATGTCCTTTGATGACCACATACCGGCAATTCATTGAACAACCCTGGAACACCCCAGCGCGTCCAATTCTTGTTATGTTAAGTGTTCGAACGTCCCCTCAAAATATCGTCTTACAGTTCGATCGTTTAGAATTATCAATGATACTCGACATTTAAAATTAAACATTCCTTCTATTTATTCCCTGTAATAATAGGTTGCTTCTTTCGCTCTGTAATTCTCAAGTCTGGTAAGATTCTTTTCTATAGAAGAGAATCAAACTCTAAATATTTGCTAAATTTGACAATGCAATGATTATTATTCAGTGACGTTACTCGGCTGCAGGCAATATCAAAATTCCTAGCATTTATCGTTATCAGATTTCCCGTCTCTGACCGACTTGGAAAGACGGAAGTCGCTGTTAGGATGCCCTGGGGTAGTCAGAGTCTCTCTATGTTGTTCTTTACTATATCGAGATATAAAGATTCTGACATCTGAACCACGTGACACTTTACGCGAAAATTGTAACGATAGATAAATAGAAAATCGAAAAATAGTTGATCCTCGACACTAGGAGACTATTTACGAAATTTAAGACATTACAATTTTGTTTAATCGATCAGGAGGCTCAGTTGCTATTTTAAATCTAGTCTGAATTTACACTGAAAATACCGTTACGCAGTTATTTATTTGTCTACCTTTTTACTCGCGTTTTTTTCTACATTTTATTTTCGCTGTAGATTATACATCTTTGCATAATTCATAGTATTATATTATATCCTCTTTCTTTTGTAGATAACCTACATATATTATTCTGAAGAAGACATCGAAGTAGATCGACAACATTAAGTATGTACGTACACGTTTCACAAATATTTCTCAACATTTTTCGGTCACTATCGAGACAGTCGATTCTAAATCGTGGGCTTCGTCGTTATCTGCCTAAGAGTTGGAATAACGTTCGCGCGTAAATCAGGCAAAGCGGCCCTATTGAGAGAAAGGACCGTAAATGATGCTATTGCACGTACTATTTAATTCCTTAGCGTCTAACTGAAAGTTAATGGCGTCGTTCTCTTTGTTCTAAATGTGCGCCATTTCAAAAATGGATCTTTTATGGAAATTTCTTTCATTGCCAAGAATGTTGGCATTCTCTCGTCGTTACAACTATCGCAGTGTTCAGTCACGACGCGATCAAAATTGTTCCTGGCATTGTGCGTGGCCCGATCCAGACAGAATTGTAATTTCTATGGTTAATTTAACAAACTACACGGTTCTTTCTATTCTTGAACGGGTTATTTTACTAATTTAATCGTGTCCAAAAACGTGGCTCTTATTATGCAAAAAAAAAACAATCGAGTCGTCACTCTTGTGGACTGTCAAATTACACGGTTCAATTTTTTAGGGGTGCTCAAAACAATTTAAAAATTTTGGAAACAACGAGTCATAAATTATCAGACGTGTGAGAGGCCATAGGGAACCCATTTCTTATTTTCTCTACTATTTTTCGAATTTATTCTTATTAATCGAATATCAACTAAACAAGTCTAGAAGAGAGAAATTCTATTCTTAAAATAATAATTATATTCCAATGTTTGAAAGAAGAACTAAACCTTTTGTGTACACTTAAAATGTAAATTTTCTTCTTTTATGATACATATAGAAAATATAGATATATTCGAAGTGTCTTATATTTTCGTTCGATACTGAAAAACAAGTCCAACGAAATGGTCAATTTAGAACTAGGATCGGTATTACGATCGTTAGGTTTTATAAAATGAATTTGGGGTTACGTTTCCTATCGTCCCAAACCTTGTCCAATAAAAAAAAAAATTGTATTTCATCGCTCGAAAGAACTAAAACTTTTTCGTACATCTAAACTATGAATTCTCTTTCACATATGAAAAATATACAAATACGCGATTTCTGGATCAGGTACCATCATCGTAGGGCTTTATAGAATCAAATGGGGGGTATATTTCCTTAGTTTCAAACCTTATTCAAGAATGCTGTATTCAAAATCAAAAGATTCCATGACGAAGAATAAACACACACACAGTGTGCAAAAGTGGCCAAAACGTGAACAAAACATGAAATCGATCTTTAATTTGCATGAAAATTAGAACATCAGGAAAGTAATACTAATACTATTCTCTCATTATACAATCACAAAAGTACCATTTTCAGTAAAAAAAAAGTGTTCCAAAGTGTACACATTAAAGGCAGTCTCAATAAATTCTCATTACCTTAAAAATCATTTGAGTCGACAAAACTTGACATAAAAGTATGATTCAACAAGTTCGTACCTTTCTCGTTAATTTTTCTGATTCCTTCTACCTCGAACTATCAACTAATGATAACAACTCGTATAAACGATACTCGTTACTTTGACAAATGCCATTTTGCTTCGCGTTGCCCGCGGTTTCGGAGGTTTTTGCACGCTGGTGCGTCGCGTACGCGCCGGTTTTCGGTTGTGCGTCGCGTGGAGTACGTCCCGAAGCCGAGAGCGTGTGCTGGCGGTTGAATATAGCGTCGCGGATGGGTCGATAACGCGCAACTCTCTCGCTCATCGTGGAGTCGCCAATGCCACGCTGTAGCGCTCCTAAGCCGAGCTTTCCTCTCATTCCGTCGTAAGCCCGCACTCTGGCACATCCATCCGCCGCCGCCACCTGCACCGACCGACCGACCGACCACCAGCCACCGTACCTACCGCCGACCACTACCATTACCATCGTCTCCGTCGCTATCATCGCCGCCGTCAGCGTCGGGTGCAGTCGACGCCGTCAACGGGATCGCTGCGATCGCGAGCATTTCCCGTCACCCGCTACCGCCGTCAATCCCACCTCAGGCATCCTTCCGACCGGAACCTCGGCAATTGGAATGCGTGGACACCGGAAGAACTCGCGCGCGACACCGACGCGACCACGCAGCGGGATCCAGCGACGTGGGATCGATCGAAGCGCGTAGATCATCGTCGTGTTCTTGGACGCGCGCGCCGTAATACGACGTGATTAACAGGTTGTTGTCGCGTATCGGGGAATAGGGACCGGTCCGAATCGCGATCCCCGGTGGTGTACGAGTGCATTCGCGTGTGCCGGATGCGTCGTGTACGCGGCGATCGAGGCGCGATCGAGCCGGCGATCGAACGCGAGATGGTACCGCGCGACTCGAGGAGGCCTGGCTGCGCTCGGGGATCCTGGACGAGCGGAACGACGCCTAGTGAAAGTGATTATGCCAGTCGCCGTGAACTCGGGCCAGTCGATCGGTCCGTTTAAGCCACGTGTGCGATCCGCGTTGTGCCCGCGATCACGAGGAGTCCGTGACTACGATGCGAGGTCGTTCGGTCCGCGAGGAAACGACCGTCTTCGGACGCTCGTTCGAAGCTGGTCCTAACCCTTTCGCTGTCCACAACCGAATAGGACTTTAAGGGATCAACGCCGTCGGACCATCCGCGCGTCGTTTGCAGCGAAAGGGTTGAAATCCCTCGATAATCGTCAGACTCGAATTTTCAATTTTCACGATTCTCGCGAGCCGCGGTGTGTCGACGATAGTGCTGGTTCCAGGGTGAAAGTTCAACGTGAGTGCACCGTCGGGGGTTTCTTCCACGAAGTGTACGACAGATGTTCTCTCGGAGGTGTCCCGAACCGTCGAACGTCGACGATAACGAGCCATCCGCGGTTCGTGGCGCAGTTGGATCGCCAAACCGCGAAACATTAGTGACCCACGGGAAAATGAGGAGATCCTGTACGTTCTTCGCCTCAAGGTAGGACACTCTCTTTACGGCTTCACGGTCGACGATACTTTTTTCCCACACCCCCGCGATCGCGATGGCCGCGAATGATAAATATCTCCCTTTGGGCAGCGAGCTAACCCGCCACGTACGCGGCAGCTCGCGTGAATTTTAATGGCAGTTCCACCGGCATCCCCCGCCGCGAAACCGGGGATAATCCAACGCGGCGGACTGCTCGAAAGAATCCACCCGGACGCCGGTTAAAAAGGTACGCGGGGACGCTCGAGATACGCGATCGCCCGGCGACGCGTCCGCTCGCTGGATTTTATTGTCCTCTAAGCGAGTGTTTATTGGTCGCGCGACGATAACGAGAGCCTTTATCGCCGGCGGTTTTGTTAATCCTCGATGGCGGTGACTTCCTGTTTGCCCGGCGTCTACGTATTTCTGGCAGAGCTGATCCTCGCGGGAACGTAGTTTCCTCCCTCGTACGGACGCTTTATTGTTATGCTCTTTCATACGAGGACCCCCATTATAGCAACGTCGTTCTCGAATCTTAATAATTTGGAACGAATGCAAATTACTTGTTGTTACGCTTCTTCAGGGTTATCACGAAGTTTGCAAAAAATAGTTTTCTAGTTAATCTCCTGATTTTATCGAGGGTTGTTAGGTTCAGGGCTGATACATATCGACACTTCGTTACTCAGCGTTTGATATTCTTTCATATTAAAATATATTGACCCCTTCAAACTATACGACTGTTTGATACAAAATTTTGTTGAGCAAAACATACTTTAGAAGTTACAGAGGTGCATAACTCGCGTGTACCTGTATAATATCTGGGGGTGAAAAATTATTTCAAAGAAATTTCAACGAATTTAGAACCTGTACAAATTACTTGTTATTGTACTTCCTCAGAAATAATTTTGCAGTGAATTTCCTGATTTTATTTGGTTTAGAACTGATATAAATCGACACTTTTTCACTTACAGTTTGACATTTTTCCATATTAACATATATTGACCCCTTCAAAATTTTTTTGGACATACTTTGGAAGTTACAGAGATGCATAAAGAAATTTCAACTTTCCAAGTGATCGTGACAATTTGCAAAATTAAATAAATATAGCGAAGAAAGTTTATTCGAAGTTTTGAATATCTCACGTAACGCGTCGAGAAAGAATTCCATGAAATAATAAATAGTTTTGTCGACGATCTAATTAACTTTAATTGCGAATAAAAGATGAAATTCAGTGGCAGGATAATCGACGGTCAGAGTGTAGGTGTACAATCGAACGTAAAAATAGTAGAAAATGTAGCGGGGCAACAAAAATGTCCGCCAGTAGTTCGAAAACGGTTCGCGCAACTTCCGCGATAAATCATCGCAGTCGCGAGGGAAGAATGTCCCTGAGTTTCATCCATTACAATGTTTTTTTTCAACCTTCCGGGGGGAAAAAGTACGACGCGTAAAGTTTTTTGGCAATAATTTCCTAAGGAAACATTCTCGAACGTATGTACGGCGGAACTTTTTTACTTAGAATTTTATTTCCTGTGCGATCACCAAGCTACTGTTCCTTCAGGAACATCCTTTTTTACATTAAGTATAAAAACACGATATTTTTCTTTGAATTCCAACGATTTTAACATCGCAACAACGATTGAAACGTGCCTTAAAAACAGAGTACATATATACGTGAAAAATGTTTACAATGAAATTTTTAATAATAAATCTTTCATTTAAATTGATTTGTAACTATTTTTTTTTTTTTTTTTGCAAACAACTTGAATTTTGTTGTATGAGTCAAATTGGCTCACTTCAGTAAAAATAGGTATATGATCTAGTGTTAATATATCAAACTAAGTTTCATTTTACAAGAGAATAGAACTGAAATAATAATCCCAAAACTAAATACAAAATTAAATACATTTGATTGACCAGGAATTCGTAGTAACAAAACATTTTGACGAATCGTGCCAAATGTTTCGAATATTCGGACAGCCGTAAAAACTCGAGCGACCGTAGGTTTTCGCGTGTCGTTCGAACTGAGTTTGGTAGGCGACGCGTTAAAGAGCGCCGTAATTTATACCGTGGCCGGCGTCTCGTTTCGCCTTTCGCCAGGAATTCGCAATTTTTCGTGGCCGAATCCTATCCGTCATACAAGTTAAATGTCCGCTCGGGCGGAGAGCGATGTGATTAATGCTCCGGACGAATTCGTTCGGGCGCTTTTCGTCTTACGCAATCCGTGGAATGCGGACGCCGCGAAATTTAATGTCCACGGAGCGGGCAGATTTTCTTCCCGTACCCGTAATTAGCTGGCACGGCGAGCACATTCGAAATATCGAGCGCGAAGACGGCTCTGAAGCAACAGGAAATCGGAACAACGTCTTGCTGCTTCCCCGATCGCGCGAAAAGTCGCGTACTTTCCAATAAACGACAGCGAGCAGTCTGGTTCCTTTCAGTCTATCATAATTTCTAATTTTTTTGCAGAGTTCGTGATTCGTTTTAAAATTAAATTGGTCGAGAAAGAATGTACGTGTAATTATATTTATTTAAGATTTTTTGCAATAGCGCCGGTCCGAAAGCAAACGTTAGAAGTTAACTCGGTTGCCTGACCCACTTCAAAGTTTTATGCCCTAGATTTTCGTTCGGAAGTACACAATTTGACACTGGATGGCGGGGAGGGGAGAAGTTGTAGGAAATTTGCAACCCGCTATATTTAGCCGCGTTACGAAGTCATGTGGACGCTGTAATAGGATTGGAGTCATTTTTGAAAAGTATTTCATTGAACAAACAAGAAATTACTATTATTTGGTTTACCAACTCGAGTCAATATCGAACGATACGCAATTTACATGATATGTAAATACATTTTGGAGCAGTAAAATTTGTTCTCTGGCACGTTTGTATACTTTTTTCTGTCATCGAAATTTTAGATATAATAACCATTCGCTTTAAACAATGTGTGTCTAGAGTAAAGATTTGAGAAAATAAATGTTTGACAGAATACTATTCGAATTATACATAACCAATAACTCCAACAATTCTGAAATTTAAAAGTGATAATTACTTTTTTATCCTCTATTCATTCTTCGAATATCTAAACAAAAATTTGGCTCGTCTAAAATTTTCTAATAAACAAAAGTTTGTTATTTTTCAAAGATTAAATTAAATGTCTGTCGTTTGCTTTGCTCCAAGAGTAAAAAGAAAAGTTGATCCCGACCCACCCCCAGAGTTTTACGATTCAGAAAGAAATGCGCGACTCGTTATATTCGTCCGCGTTACAAATTTCGCGCCAGCACCCTCGGTAAATTCGACGGCAAGGGGGCCAAGGGGGGGTGATACACGGAAAGTATCGTGTACCAACGGATCGTTTGCTCCGGTCTGGTAATATTTCGTTTGAAAGCGATCGGCGAGCCATCCCGTGTAAGTGGACACTGAGAAAACAACGAGAACGGAGCAGTGGCCACTTTGAAACCGGACGCACGCAACTAGCAATGACAAGCGATGCTTTGGTTACTTTAAACAAACGGGATCAAAGAAGCAGGTACCGCGTCTACAATATGCTGACGACATTGCTGTTCGTTCGCTGGATATTTGTTCGATCCCCCGTTGTTTAGGCTGCACGGAAACGTTTCTTCCTGGAAAACGGCTGAAAAGACGTCGCCAGAACACGTTGACACGGCGCGTTGGCCACTGTCAGACGTGGTAACGTTTCAAAACTCGTCGATGCATTTGCCTCTGCAATGTTTATCGATACATCAATACTGGGGATTTGATCGTACAACCGTCTGACGAAATGATTACATTGATATTTTACTATTTCATGAGAGTAACAAGCATTAGGTTCTCGTTGCACTTCCTACTGAAAATAAATTTTAGTTTCGTAGAAGAATTTACTAATATTGTTTAATATTTTTCGTCGACCTTTTGAAATTGTAATTTTTTTCGGTCCAGTTTCGTTCGATATCATCTTCTTCGTCTCTGTTTTCGCAGCTTTCTCTTTTTCTAGCCTTTCCGTTTGTCTTGGGTCGCTCTTTCTCTCCTCTCCTTTGTTCGTTTCTTGCCCTAAAAATATTTTTCTTACTCTTGAAATACTTTTCCTTGCCTCTCGACTTGGGCAAACAAGTGTCTTTGAAAGAGAAAATAAAAAGGTGAAAAGGATTGTAAGGATTGTAGTGCAGAGCACTTTCCAGGAGCGAAGAAAGTAAAGTAGAAAAAAAGCAGCTTCCATCGTAACTTAATCACTCTAATCGACTTCTAAAAACATTCTAAATACTTGGAAATTGATTGCTAACTAAAATCTTTTTTAATATTAATGTAGACATATTCAGAAATCATTCCCATGCAAAACCAGCGTTTCTGTACCCGTGTTTCTGTTTTTTCTGATTTTTCTTTTTCTGATTATCTCATTACACAATCACAGAAGTACCATTTTCAATAAAAAAAAAAGTGTACACATTAAAGACTCAATAAATTCTCATTGCCTTCCAAATCATTTGAATCAACATAGTTGACATAAAACTACGATCCAACAAGTTTGTACTCAGGTTTTCTCGTTAATTTTTCTGATTTCTCGTACCTTGAATTAACTAATGATATGGTAACTCGTATAAACAATATTTGTTACTTGGAAAAATGCCATTTTGCTTGGTTTTGTCCGCGGTTTCGGACGTTTTTGCACAGCGTGCGCGTCGCGACGCAACTTTTCGCGGAATCGACGATGCGTGCGCTGGCGCTTTCGGTCGGTTGTGCCCCGCGCGAAAATCAATCAAAATCGGAACGTCATCGCGTAACGTGGGGCACGCGAGGCGGCGTGCGTGCGCAACTAACCCAGACCCGACTCTGTATCGAAGTATCGGGCTTCGATTTTGCGTTTTCCGCGACAGAGGAGGCGGCAGATTTTCGTAATAACGTCACGTACACAGAACCGTCGGCCCCCGTCGGTCGATGGATCAAAGAAGGAAGCTTGGCCCCCCTCTCTACGCTCCTGCCCCTCCAGCAATTCGTGCTTTTAATTTAGCTCACGAACCATTTGG